ATACCATAAATAGCATGCTTAGCCATCATAAGGAGATATTTCCAAAAAGTTTTTGATGAAAAATTAAAATGCAGTTATTTTAAAAATGTATGTCCTTCTTGCTTGACAACAAGATTCTTAATTCTTAATTTATCTTAATTCTTAATTAATTCTTAATTAATTTAAGAATAGATTACAATAGCATGACAGCTGTCTGGTCTCATGATTAATGCATAATTTTGAAGAAAAAAGTAGAAACATCACAGCAGAAGTACTCTTATAGTTTGAAATAGCTGGAATTAAGCCAGTTAAACTATTTCAGCATTACCAATAAAAGGATAATTTCTTTTTGATATTCTTCCTCTCATTTTAGAATCCATGTGCCATGCATAGAGCATGCTTTAACCAAAAAAATAAAAATAAAAACCTTGAATATACTGGGCTGTTGTAAGTACTCCATGCTGGTTCTGGACTCATCCACATTATTTATTTATATTTTGCCTCTTTATTTTTTTAATTGAAGGATATTTGCTTTACAGAATTTTGTGGTTTTCTGTCACACATCAAGAATCAGCCATAGGTGCACCCATGTCCACTCCCTCCCGAACCTCCGTTCCATCTCCCCCAATGTCCTTAGGTCTGTTCTCTGTGTCTGTTTCTCCATTGCTGCTCTGAAAATAAATTCATCAGTAGTATCTTTCTAGATTCCGTATATATGCGTCAGTATATGATATTTATATTTCTCTTTCTCACTTACTTCATTGTCTCTAATAGGCTCCAGGTTCATCCGTCTCATTAGAACTGACTAAAATCCATTCCTTTTTATGGCTGAGTAATATTCCATTATATATATGTACCACTGCTTATTTATCCATTCATCTGTCAATGGACATCTATGTTGCTTCCATGATCTAGCTATTGTAAATAGTGCTGCATTGAACATTGGGGTACATGTGTCTTTTTCATTTTTGGTTTCCTCGGGGGTGTATGTCCAGGAGTGGGATTGCTGGGTCACATGGTGGTTTTATTCCTAGTTTTTTAAGGACTCTCCATACTATCTTAATAGTGTTGGTATCAATTTACACTCCCACTGGCAGTGCAAGAGGGTTCCCTTTTCTCCACACCTTCTCCAGCATTTATTGTTTGTAGACTTTTTGATGAGGGCCATTCTGACCAGTGTGGGGTGGTATCTTCTTGTAGTTTTGATTTGCAGTTCTCTGATAATGAAAGCTGTTGAGCATCTTTTCATGTGTTTGTTAGTCATCTGTATGTCTTCTTTGGAGAAATGTCTGTTTAGGTCTTTTCCTCCTTTGTCAAAAATAAGGTACCCAAAGGGTGTGGGTTTTATCTCTGGGCTCTCTATCTTGTTCCATTGGTATATATTTCTGTTTTTGTGGCAGTACCATATTGTCTTGATGACTGTAGCTTTGTAGTATCGGACTCTTCCACATATTAATCCCTTTCTGTCTCTAGAGTCCAGAGCATGCATTCCTGTGTTTCTTCCACGGGCCTGATCCCCAAAGACCTCAAAATGTACCCAAGTTTCCTTAACTGATAATTACAATGCAAAAAGGTTATTGTGAAATAGGGTGGATCAAAGTGTTGGACCACACATCTTGACCTCTAAAGGAAGCAATGACAAATGACTCATTTAATAAGAAGATTAGCTTTTTTAAATGTATTTGTTTAGTTTGTTCATGTGTATGTCAACAATTTCTAGAAATTAAAAAAGGAGAATTCCTAGAAAACTGAAAACTCTTTTTGATTCTGCGTCTGTCCATTTGGAGCTCCTTTTTACAATGAAAGTTAGATTGTGAGCATCTGACTTGGAGATGAAGAACATTAAAGCAAGTGTAGAACTCCTGAATTTTGCCCCTTCACAGCAAATGTCTTTGCCACTTTTTCCCAATTGATTTCTCATGACACCCCAAAACAAAGCATTAATTGGGGAGATGATGACTTTTCAGCTCAGAATGCATTCTGAAGTCCTCACCACAGCCTATGAGACACCAAAAAAGTATTTCCCTCTGAGATCTCTCTGATTCGTCTGTTGCTTCCTTTGCAGCTCCACCCCATTGCTCTTATTCCTCCACCTTCAGGAAACACACCAAGTGCATGGCAGTCTCAGGCATTTGCACTCACTGTTTCCATGTCTCCCAGATACTTAGCCCCATCTCCTTTTGGCTCCCTCACTCCAAGTAGCTCTCTGCTCAGATGTCTCCCTCTCTGAGAGGCTTCCCTGACCAGCCTCTCCATAACACTCTGTGCCACCACTTCTCTCTACCCATCAACCTGCTTCATCTCTCCTCTTAGTACTTTGCATCTCCTGGCAAAGTACATATTTCTTTGTCATATGTCTCTGAGCACCAGAATTTAAATTCCATAATGGAATTATGGAATAATTATATTTAATCAAATAATTATATTTGATTCACTGTCATTTGGTTCCCTGGATAGTACCTGACTCATTAGAAATTTCTAATAAACACTTTTAACCCAGTATGCATGACTAAGAGAATATTGGCTTACTGAATGCACTCATGGATGATTTTTAAAAGCTTAGGTTCACTGTATGGTATTTTATATATTTTTAAAATTTATTTTATTTATATATGTATTTTAAAGACACACATATATTACATATATATATGTATAATGATGCAGATTCATATAATGTATACATACACTCTTTCATGAATTCTTCTTCCTGTCCAGCTCTTTGTGATGCCATGGATTGTAGCCCACCAGGCTCCTCTGTCCATGGGATTTCCCTGGCAAGAATACTGGCTGTTGCTGCTAAGTCGCTTTAGACTTAGTCGTGTCTGACTCTGTGCGACCCCATAGACGGTAGCCCACCAGGCTCCGCCATCCCTGGGATTCTCCAGGCAAGAACACTGGAGTGAGTTGCTATTTCCTGCTCCAGGGTATCTTCCTGACCTAGAAATTGAACCCGGGAGGTGTCTCTTGCTTCACCTGCATTAGCAGGTGGATTCTTTAACGCCACAGTACCTGGGAAGCCACCATGCATTCACTACCTGTATATAATGTAGTAAGCAAAACAAGTGACCCTGAATCCCTTTATTTTCTCCTCCCTCAATTATATCTCCATTCCACCACACACATACACCCCCACTCACAACTTCCCCTGTCAAGGTTTCTGTCGTATATCATCTAGTTGGTTATATTTAACTTATTGTTTCTTCGTACACTTTGTGGGTGAGTTAATGAGCCACACTGCAAGGACTGTTTTGTAGTTTATCATCGTGACGGTGCCAATAGGCTGTAGCATTTGGGCGTTGGATGGTATAGGCTCTCCACTACTCTAGATACCTTTCCAAAAGTGGTATTTCCAGGGGTGGCACAGCATCTTTTCTGACTGGTAAAATTCCTTCAAAGGTTATTAGATTATTATAGTCCCTTGGGGCATCAGCTGTAGATATTGCCATCTTGGGATTATGGGCAGGTCTATGTGCTAAGTATTAAGACAAAATCTGAAATTGTTTATGAGACAAGGCATAGCATAGATGATACAAGAGAGCCTTTATACCGAATACTGACTTCGCTTCTTGCTTAGTATTATCTCAGGCTAGGGTACTTAACATTCTAAACCTCAGTTTCTTGTTCCATAAAATCATAACATGTATTTGATAATATTTTTGTAAGGACAAACATAAATAGTATACATTGGGTTGGCCAAAAATTTCATTCTGGTTTCTGTAACATCTTACAGAGAAACCTGAATGAACTTTTTGTGCAGCCCAATGGAAAACACTGTTTGGCGCCAGCCAGATACTCTAAATGGCAGTTACTTAAGTAAAATTTTCTCTCAGTCCCCATGAGGGCACTTAATTCAGTGCTTGAAGCACAGTAGCTACTCATGGACTATTTGCTGATTGATAAGGCTGTCTTATCATACTCTTTGGAAACCCTTCTCTAATCATCTTAGCTGATAAATGGGGCATGAAAAAGAGTAAAGTCAGGAAAACTTTTGTGCTTACAAATTCAAACTTATCTAATTCTAAAATTTGAAAATGATAACTTGTGTGTATAATTTTTTAAAAAACTGCACCAGGAGTAGAATGAAACTATTGTACTCAATATAATCTTTCTGTTTGAAGACACTGCTTCAGATCTTAGGAAGGGATGGATTGAATCATGGTTAAGATGAATAATCACATTAGTTCTATTGAACGAACAGTCATGGAAGGTGAACAACTTTTAATGTGTCCATATACCTTTTTGATTTTGCATGCCGATAGGTGGGGTTATTGAAATTTATAGTCTAAAGAATAATTTGTTTAATTTTGGAGTTATGTAATTACATTTACATGTGCACATATATCACCCTTCTATCTGCAGTAAATATATGCTTCCAGCTGCATTTACTTGTAATATTGTAAAATCCATTTTCTTTCCTTGAGTCTGTATGGGTGGCGGACAGAGTAAGGTGGGACAAGGAGAAGGTGACAGAATATAAAAAATGTTATAAAAATGTTCATGTAACTACAGATTCAACAGAATTGACTAGTGAATCTTGTTTTAAATAACCACCAAACCAACTTTGTTGTTTAGGAATGCAACTTTGTTCACTGTCGTTGTCATAGCTAGGAGAATTGTTTATCAATAGTAAAGAAGACATAGTTCCACTAAACCTTCCAGTGTAGGAAAAAAGCAAATACAATTTGGTTATCAAATCCCAGGTCAGCCATTAACTAGTTGAAAGTCTTTGGGGTATCTTCAAATCTCTTTTGTTTGACTAATAAAGTGAAAATAAAGACAGCTAGCAGAAAAGTTATTGCAGAAATCATGTCTGTATATAGCCACATTTACAACATGTTTTTATTTATTACATTTTGTGTGTTCATGTATATATAACGCATCACATAGTAAGATTTAAAATGTGCTTCTTCTTAATTAAAAATGTAGCCACGTTGTAGAATAATTTTAGATGTTTCATTGAATAGTCTAAATAGCAGTATTTTCTAAAAGAAAATAACATTAACTGCTTTCTCTTATTACAGGCTTATGAAAAAATTGCTTACCTTCTCACTAATTTAGGTAAGTCCACTTTTCTTACTTCACTCCTTAGTAAGAAAATAACATGGGCATGTAAGTCTATGGTTTCTTTACATACTTTAGCATTTTTTATATCAACTTTAGTTAGATAATTGTCAATAAAAATGAAAGAAGGGACCTAGGAAGTTGGAATTCATCATATAACTATAGAGAAGCAATGTACATAGTTAAAAAATTCTAGTAGAAATTAACAAACCTAGTTCCGCCTACTTGGGATTGCTTTTCCCCCTACCTTTTCACTTCTTTGGAATTTTCCCTGCAACATTTATTTTATCACAGTGTCACATTACAGGTACACAACTTAAAAGGCAAAAGAGTATTAAGAGATTTATAATAAATACCAGCTCCTTGCCACATTGCCCATTCTTGTTTTCCATAACCCTGAGGTAGTGCTTTTTAGCAGTTTAATCATTGTTTTCTGTTCTTTTCTACTCTATTTCTAAATTACATGCTACTACTGCTGTTCTTGGGTTTTCCAGCTTTGGGAAGTGATTGCCTTCCCATAATAAAAGACAGGAACTTTGTACTTAATTTCCGCAGTGTCCTGCGCCCTCACACTTCCCCATAGGTCTCTAGGTAAAAGCAGACTATTAGTTCTCCTTCCAAAGCAGTTGTATCGACAGCTTCAGCCTAATGAATAATTGGTGCTCACATCATGTATCTACAGAACTATGTTCATATCTAAGGCATGATGTGTACTGTGGTTGCTTCCTTTCTACCTTTATATTTTCATGAAGCTAATAATAACAATTTTTTTTTTGCTTAATTGTCTACACATACTTGCCTTGATTTATCCCGAACTTCCTGCTGTAACTCTAAATTCTCTAAATTCTCTCTAAATACATTCAAAAACATCAAGTATTGTACTCACTTTATTCTGAGAGGTATCCTCCCTGAACCACTGTCTACTCCAGTCTCAACAAGTTACCCTCTGGGCTTGTGTTCAACTGCATACACTGCTTTGACCAGCACTGTGGTAATTCCCTTCACTTTTTATTTTTTCAGTTAGACAATACTTTTTGGATCCTTTGTTTCGTCTGTCTTAATTTCTTATTTTGCTACCTGGAAAGTAAACTCAAAACCTTGCATGTCAGAAAATACCTTTATTTCTATCCTCAAACTTAAGTTTTGGTCCCCGTTTGGGTACAAAATTTTTATTACAGAGTTGTTTGAGCAGTGATCTTTTATTATTTGAAAATTCAACAGAGCCAAGGCACTGAGCTCAGCGGGACTGTCCTCCTTTACTATTTTGTTTTATTGCCATCACAATTCTGTGACAGTGGTATCTCAAGTTTATCGATAAGAAAATCAAGGTAATTAAGTTGCATGCCTGCAAAGTTGCTTCAGTCGTGTCCCACACTGCAACCCTATGGACTGTAGCCAGCCAGGCTCCTCTGTCCATGGGGTTCTCCAGACAAGAATTCTGGAGTGGGTTGCCATGCCCTCCCCCAGGATCTTGGTTAAATCCCTCGTTGATCTTCCCAATCCAGGGATCAAACCCGCGTCTCCTGTGTCTCCTGCCTTGCAGGTGGATTCTTTACCGCTGAGCCACCAAGGAAGCCAAATTAAGTTAATGAGTAGAATTTAAACTCAGATGTGACAGACTCCACTGACTGTGGTGGAGTAACTGCATGTAGGATGTATTGCTTGCCTTACAATGTATGTACAAATGAGAGTAACATGAGAAGAAACAGTGTATAGTGGGAAGAACTAGCCCCTAGTTCATGGTCTGGCTGATGTGGTCACTTGGAAATTACATGACTAGGAGCAAGTTTTTTCTTCTTTCCATTCTTTCATCTCCTCTTCTTCCCTCTGCTCCATCTCCTTTTCTTTCTTTCTTTCTTGTTTTGAGTCTGAGTTTCTTCACTGGTAAAATGAGAGTGAGAATAGTGCCTGTTTCACTGTCTGTAGGTTAGCTGCCTGACATGTGACAAGTGCCCCATCAACAGGAATGATCTTTTTCATTGTTCTTTAAACCCTCTGAGCTATAGTTTCTTTTCTTTT